TTTTGTTACCTAAGATGTAATTAACTATAGGGGTTTGCCCTTATAGGAAGCTTTTCCCGAACCCAGCATAATATAAACCCTATTTAATTCCTTATATTAAATAGGGGAACTTGTCGGCCAATACATTGGTTTCGCAGACCAAACGGATGTTATAACTTTCTTTAGTTTACTTGATCGAGCCTCACTCTCAATTCTTGCGTTCATCCTTCGGGATAGATACATGATTTGAGATAAAGTGCTCTTTCATCTAAACTATGAAAATTATGGGGTCAGTTTGACTTCATCTTTTTCAAAACTAAATTTTTTTAAAAAAACGTCCTTCCGAAGCGGGCAACGGGATTTTAATTCCGATGACCGACAGCTTCTTACGGGCAAACCCCACACCAAAAATAGTGCCGACAAACCCGAGAAGCCCTGGATGAAAAAAGGCATGGGGGCATCTCAACCGGGTTGTCCAAAATAAAAGAACAACCAACCAAGCAAACCAAAACATCTTTTATGCTAACTCTGTTTTGCAGGGCTACTGATAACAAAAGATGGATGTCACTCTAGATTTACTTTATATGTTATTAGGATGTGCTAACTCTATTTTACAGAGATGGACATTCAAACTTAGAGCAAATTATGAACCTCAACTAAACCATTAATGAAAAAATAAAACTTTAGGATAGTTCAGAATCATTAGGAATATACTACCCTCAGGACAGGACTTTGAAATTCCTTTCCTTGACAAATACATTTAAAATTTTATGAGGACAAGTTACAACCTTAATCAGAAGTTTTCTTAAACATATTACTTAAGATGTAATTAATGTTAGGGGCTTGCCCTTATAAGGAAATTGAACCCCAGAACATATATAATAACTTGAATATCTAGTTGTGGGTTTTCTTTCGTTAGATTTTCTTCACATGTATGCCTCTGGAGTGTATTAAGCTAATGTACTTCAGAGCTATCTATGTGAAGTCCACTTCACGGAAGCTTCCCCACTTGTTTCTTTTGTTTGTCCTTGTCATTACAAATCTTAACCCCTTGATCTTCTCTCTATTTAGATCAACCATAAGATTAGAGAGAGAAGGCTATCGAAGAAAGGGATGATACTGTGGGAGATAAACTGGTGACTCCATGAGAACAACACAATAATAACAAGAAAGATAGTGGCATCCCGCACCAAACTGATTGAGGCAGCGGCGATCTGGCGGGCGCATCATAGGTACGTAGCTAGAATTAAGGATTAGTACATGCAAAAAACCTAAATCTAACCCCTTTGAGACTTAAGATATGAGGCTAGCTACAGTTCTACATTTAAATTGGATTCCTGGTTATGAGGCTAGTTTCAAACCTCCCTAAGACTTTGAATCCCTTGAGCTACAACATTTAAAGGGGATTCTTGGCTATAAGGTTGGTTATAGTTGATGAATATCGATTTTCCTGAGACGACGGAAAACCATTGGCAACTTGACCAGATAAATCATTCTGAGTGTATAGGTTAGTCCACCTGTTTGGCTTCTTTATAGAGATTAAGTTTGACTTTCCATCAAAAAACCTTTCCTAACTTACTATATAGTATAGGGGTTTTGATTAATTCATGTCTATCATTTTAAATATCACTAATTCACCTTGTAAACCCTTTCCCATCAGTTAAAAGTGCATTTCAAATCCTTTCATAATCAGGTTTTCTTACCATAGAGCTCAAATCCTTTTAATCCTTTCATAATTCTACTCAGTATATTAGTCGGGAGTTTTCTTTAGGTTTCTTGATCTTAAAAATGTAATTAACTATGAAAGCTTGCCCTTGTAGAAAGTAAGACCCCAAAATTAAAATAAGCCTGATCTTACACTTGTAAGGTAAAAAAAAAGCTGGTTTTGTAGACCAAAAGTAGGTTTTCATCATCTGGGTGATTAGGTCCGTATCTAAGGTAATATTCTCTTTCTTTTATAGAACATATTATTCTACGGAATATGGTGCCTGATCATCTAGATATAATGTCTCCTGAAAAACACTACGGTGTTGGCGAGCAATATTTTCCCACCATTGGTGTGATACATGTAATATGAAATGTTTAAAACACTATATGTGTAAATCCCCCTATTAAATTTATTTCTTTAAAACAATGAGTTTGACTATAAGTTTTTAAAAATTAGGCTTTGAATGATTTTGAATTCGATTTCACATGTTTTAATACAAATAAAATACTAAGGTTTGTACATCATCTGGTAAAACTTTTGTTGAAACTTTTGTTGTTCATTTAACATTCATACATGGACTATTAAAGTGCGCTTGATTTGAGAAAATATATTAAAATATTTTAGGAAAAAATTATAGGACATACTTATAACTTAAAAATGCTATAACACATAGCTATTTTTTTGGAGTCAATACAATGTCTGAATTGAACGATTTTGCGCTAGTTGGATTCGTCTTGTTGAGACCTTCGATTTGACTTAAATTTGCTAGATTAAGAATCAATTTGATCTTTCAACTATGACCCAAAAAAATCTCATAAGTCGTTTAATGGTTTGACCTATGCTTGATTTGACTCGAATTGAACCAATTTTGGTACTGTTAGGTCAACCTCATCCAGTCAGTCTGTTTGATTGTGAGTTTGTTAAAATCAGAATTAATTCTGAACGACTTTTAATCAAAATTAAAAATTTTCTTTCTAAAATAATTGTCTTGAGACCCCTATCAATCATACCTTAAAAATCGTGTTGGTTGATGGAAATTTATTGATGGGGGGTATCAATTGTAAAATTATTTTTATCCTTTTAGCCAAAAAAAAAACTATTTAAGTACTTAGATAACTCGTGATGATTTTGACATTATTAATATTGAGATATTTGAAGAAGAATCCGACTTGACGTACTCAGCTTTACATGACTTAACCATGTCAATTAATTCACAATCTAAGTATTTTAGTCCATCTTTGCCACAAAATATTGAATAAAGGAATATCATTAATTCCAATCTACAATCGGTTTATAAACTTAACCAAAAAAATTTAATAATTACAAAAAACATAGAACCCTACCAACCAAATAATCAGTTATATTCTTGTACAGAAATCAAATAAAAAGAATCCAGTCATTTCGTCAACAAGGAGGCATATATGACGGCGGTGGCAGCATCCCTTCATCCTTCCCTCCCCCGTTCTTCACTATGAGCACAGTATCCATTCCCCAGCTCGAATGCGAGTCAACATGGCAGTGCATGTACCAAACTCCTGATACACAAATTAGTTAATTAGAACACCCACACCCAACATTCAGATCACGCACAGTAAAATCAAACAAAAAAAAAAAAAAAAACTTTTTTTTTACCACCCACACCCGACATTCAGATCACGCACAGTAAAATCAAACAAAACAAAAAAAAAACTTTTTTTTTTACCTGGATTCCGAGCCCTGAATCTGATAGCCGCCCACCCATTCTTCGGAACACCAACTGTGTTCTCATATGGCGGATCAACCAAATTATAACTCCTCGGATCCTTACTCTCATCAAAATTCCCAAACCCTATTCCCACCACATAGAAACTATACCCATGCAAATGCATCGGATGGTTCTCCGACGCCAGAATATTAGTCCCCTGAAACACAATCTCCAAACTCCTATTATACTCCACAACCCTCACCTCTGTCCCCCTCCCCGGAAACTGGTACGATTCCGGCAGATTCTCCCCCGTAAAATTGAATTTCACCGGTGGCTCCCCCGGAAACCCCGTCCCAAACACCCGGCTTATGTTCTCATAATAAGCCTTCAGTATATCTCTGTTTCCAGTTTCAAAGCTTATGTTGTTAAGACTCGCCGCAACCCGGTCGTGATTCTGCCCGGTGCAATTCCTTCCCGGCTCGCATGGCAGAAAATTTACCGACACCGTGATGGTTATCCGCTCGTCTATGGTCTCCGGCAGCCCCGCCGGTTCAACCAGAGATCTTAGCCCGGCGACGAAATCCATCGCTGCTTTCGTGTCATTAAACTCGGGGAGGGATGGAAGCAATGGCGTGTCTGTTGTTGTGTTGCCGTATTGCAGAATGGCAGTGGCGGTGGTTACATCGTAGAGAATATCCGCGCTGCCGTAGGTGCTCGCCGCCATGTAGAAACGGGTGCCATTGGTGCCGTTTGTGTGGAGGAGGATGTCCATGGTTTGGCCCGGGGTGATCATTATGTAGTCGGTGGCGTATGGTTTGGTGTAGCTGGCGTCGGTGCCGACGATCGTGAGTCGGTGGCCTGCGATGGCAAAGAAGAGCTCGTTGTTTAGCACGGCATTTATGACGCGGAGGAGGTAGCTTTTGTTGCGCTCGACTATAGCGGTGAAGGTGTCGGATGAGGAGCATGAGTAGAGATCTCCAGGCTGGCCATTGATGGTGAAGGCATCCGACAAAAGTGGCGCTCCGCCTGTTGAGAGAGCGTCGGCTAGAACTTGGCTCACGTTTGCTTTCCACCACTCCGCTGCATCGGTCAATTGTTTTTCTTAAAAAATATATTAGAAATTGATAATACTGCTAATTAATTTTTATGTGTTAATAAAAATTTTAGTGTTATATGAAAGTTTAGGTGTTGCATTAGATTTGTGTGTTAAGTATGTAAATGCTGCAAAATTAATCAATGATAGAATGTTTGAATCACTTACCGAGAATGATTGGAATTTCTTTGTCAGGGATGGAGTAGGGGAAGGTTGTGCCGTTTAGTGGGTGGACGATGACGGCGCCGTGGACTGTTGCGCGGTCCCAGTCACTGTGTGCGTGCCACCAGATAGTGCCTTCTTCTTCACTGAATATTAGGCGGTATGTAAAGTTTGTGCCGGGTTGAATTGGGCATTGTGTTACGTACTCGGGTCCATCAAACCATGGGTTTCTATGTTGGCTTAGTCCATGCCTAAGAAGAGTTATAATGTTTACAAATATTATTTTTTTGTTATAGTAGTAATAAGAGATTCTTAATATGAGGATATGTGTAGCAAATTTATTATACCAATGAAGGGTGATGTTGTAATCTCCTTGGTTCATTACATTGACGAGTATGGTATCGCCTTTTTGAGCGTATATTGTTGGCCCAGGAAATTGACCGTTTACCGTTAGAATATTCTTTGTTTCACAAAGACGAGTATAAGGTGTTCCTTGAATCTGAAAAAAAAAAAAAAAAAAAAAGGAACATATACCCATTACAAATGAGACCATTGCCTACTTCCATGCCTATTATTAATTATAGTTGATAAACATGCATGAGTACTGGTTAATATGCTATTCAACGGCAGAAAAGACTGGATTATCTTATGAACACAACTTGCCATGCGAAGCTTTATTATTGCTAAGTTAGTCAACTATTTAATAAAAAAACAAAGTCATACCACTTAATACATTCATACCACCTAATATATCTAAAGTCAATGCTTTGTTTTTTTCAATTAACGTCATAAAAATCTTTCGCATCACATCAGAATCTTATACTTTTTACTCTTTAAAAGTCGCACTCTTTTGCATGCAGTGATATATATATATATATATATATAGTTATATGTAAAAATTGAAATTCAGGTTTCAGACATGTAGAGTAGTATAGTTACTTACGATGAAATCATACTGATTAGTGCCAGCCAATGCTCGACAAACCAGCAGCCCAAAAAACAGCAAATAACTTCCAAACCTCATAATTTTGCCTAATTTTTGATAGAAAAGCTGATAAATATGCGAGAGAGAAGTGAATGGAATTTAGAAGACGGAAATAGCTAGTACTGTCTGATTCTACTATGGATTTCTTCCAAGTACTGGCATGTAGGTGGCCTTATTTATGCACAGAGTATTCAAGTTCTGTTGAATGTTTCAAAACCTTAGTCGCAATGTCAATGTTTTCGGTACGCCTTCATTTTCCCGCATATTTTTCAAAACCTTAATCCCGTCAAAAAATGAACGTGTAATTTTGCTTACATTTTTATCCGGGTCAATTTACATACGTAGCACACTCAATCCTTCTAAATATACTTGAAAGTTTGGGTGTCGGATATGTAAATACATAAGAATTATGTGGTATGTATGTGATTTCATCTTATAATTAAATTCGTTTAGAATTGTTAATAAAACTATTCATTAACATTGTCTTGATAAAAATTTATCAGAGGTCAGCGTCTGCATTGACTCAATAAAAAATTGAATATTTACATATATACCACTTATTTTTATGTATTTACAAATCCAACACCTAAATATCAATTTCTAGGCACACCACTCTTTCTATGTATGAAAAGATGTACTTCCCTTTCAGAAAGCAAAATTTAGGTTTTGACATGTAAATACTTGGAATTTTGGTGGTATGTATGTAATTAAATACCCCAAAAAATCTATATCACCGAGCAGCTAGCTTTGGAGGAATTCGAAAAAAAATCATATATAATCAATTTAAATATTTTTATGAAAATTTCTGTAAAAAAAATATTTCACTATCTTTGCTTTCATTTATTTTATATGCTAAGTAGAACATTAAAAAATAAATATGACATTGTTAGATGGTTACAAGCAAAAGAAACATCTCTCATTGTAAAATAGATGATAATGACTTCATTAAAGGGATATTTTGACAAATGTGCGTGAAATAATTGGGCGGCTCCTCTGGCATTGACTTCTCGAATGGAAAGTCAATTCCTTGTTGTGGATTGGATGGGTGGAGCAGTTGAGGAAATAACTAGTTTTCTGGGAAATTGAGGTCAACTTGCAAAATTTGACCAATGTAATATTGTAATTTATCATTATAAACATTATGCAATTCATAATTCTACATATGATTTTGATAATATTTGCATTAGCGGACACGGAAAGATGTAGTAAAATCAGAGAATTAAATGTGAATTCCCGTTGAACATACTGGGACCAAATTCAAGCCAATACAAGTTTACAGAGTACATTAAGAGTCTGTTTGGGGCAGCTGCAGCTTATCCTGCTTGTGTTGATAACCTGCATATCTGCAGCTGATCCTGATAAGTTGTTTATCTATTTGGTTTGTGCGTTTGTAAAACAATTGATTTACATAAGTTTTTGGATAAATGACAATTCTACCCCTGAACTGAATAAACTATTAAGCTGTTTGGTTTCTGCGGTTTGAAAACAACTAATTTGTCTTAACCTCTACCACTTAGGGCTGTAAACGAGCCGAGATTGAGCGAGCTCAGGCTTGGCTCGTGTTCGGCTCATTCGAAATAGCTCGTGTTCGAAATCGGCTCGTGAACAGTGTGTTCGTGTTCGGCTCGATTTAAATATTTGTGTTCGTGTTCGGCTCGTGTTCGGCTCGAAATTGGCTCGTTAATCTAAAATTGAGTTTGGTTGAGGTTTAGTTTTCCTCCGTAGTAGCCTAGGTTCTAGCCATATGACTTTCCTGTTGATTATTTCTAGAAAACTAGAAAAGGAACCCTCACCATTAGAAATTCTACACTCCTCTTTGCTCAACTTGAAGCTCTACACATTGGTCCTAACCTCTACTACTTAGTTGGTGGGGTCAATATGGGAGAGCTCAAGGTGAGTCCACCCTTAGGGTTGCTGGACCTTAAGGTTGACCTTGGGTGCTGGGTGTTGGTCTGGAGCTGGTTCATTCATTTGCACTCAATTTCACTCACTTTCACTCACTTTCACTTATAACCATAAAACCAAACTCTGTTGACTTTGATCCATTGATCCTTTGGAAGACTCATGTAGATGGTGCCCTAGACCTACTAGCCCTAGGCTGAGGTTTAGCTAGGACCAGTACATTGAGGACCCAAATGGGGACTCCATTGGTTCATGGCTCACATAGAGTAGTTGACACCCTAATTTTATCAAAAAAATCCAACTTGGCATTTTGCCCCTCAAATCTACCCAAATTACCTAAACACCCCCAAACCCCAAATTTGACCAAAATTCTCAATTTCATCTAAAATACCCAAAATTGTTTAAAAATCATTTCAAAACATTTCAAAATACTCAAATTGTTCAAAACCACCCAAAATTATCAAAATACCCTCAAATTGGCCAAAATTACAAAAATACCCTTGGCACCCCAAACTTTTCCAAAACCCCTAAAATCACTTTAAATGTCTCCAAAACCAATTTGGACCCTTCAATTGAACCAAATTTGGCCAATTTGACCAAAACCCCCAAATTGCCTTTAAAGGCCCAATTTCCCCAAATTCAACTCAAATGTCCATCAATTTAGCCCCAATTCCACTCAATTTAAATTCTACACTCAAATTAATCTTTAATTTGATCAATAAAAACCAAATCTAAGCCTAATTAGCCCATTCTTTGAGCTCAATTTTGATCGAAGTCAAACCCCCAATTTTAGCCCTATGACTTAATCTCACTTAATTGAAATTGAACCCCATAAGCCCACTCAATTACCTCAATTTGCATCATAAACTCTTCAGAACACTTTCACAAATCAAATTGAACCCTCAATGGACCTTGATCAAGCTTCAACTCCACTCAATTTTAGCCCAAATTCAAAACCCCAATTTTTCCCCAAATTAGCCATGTGCCCAAATGTCACCTAATTGAATACCCAAACCCCAAAATTAACACCCAATTGATGTTGAGAACTCTTCATGATATTCCTCTAGATCATTTTCAACCATCAATTTGGATTTAACCCAACCCTAGCCCAACCTAAGCCCAAGTCTAACCTAATATACCCAAATTCGTCAAATGTCCAAATCCCTCAAATTGACCCACCAAATCAACTCAAAATCACTCCAAATCTTTTCCAAACTCTTCATGACAATCACCTACACCAATTTGATGAATCCATTGGGCTCAATGTCATGGCTAGCCTAACCCAAACTTCCAAAATCTCCGAAATCATCTCAAATATTTCCAAAACTAATTTGAACCCTACCATGGAACCTAATTTGACAAATTTGACCTATTTTGACCAAAAGCCCCAAATTTCCCTCAATGGCCCAATTTCCCCAAATGTCCATCAATTTGACCCCAATCTCTCTCAATTTCAATTCCAAACTCAAATTCATCATGCCTATGATCATTTCAAGCCAAATCCATGATTAATTGGCCCATGCTTTGAGCTCAATTTTGATCCAAACCAAAACCCCAGTTTTAACCATACAACCCAATCTCACCCAATTGAACCCCATAAGCCCACTCAATTACCTCAATTTGCATCATAAACTCTTCAGAACACTTTCACAAATCAAATTGAACCCTCAATGGACCTTGATCAAGCTTCAACTCCACTCAATTTTAGCCCAAATTCAAAACCCCAATTTTTCCCCAAATTAGCCATGTGCCCAAATGTCACCTAATTGAATACCCAAACCCCAAAATTAACACCCAATTGATGTTGAGAACTCTTCATGATATTCCTCTAGATCATTTTCAACCATCAATTTGGATTTAACCCAACCCTAGCCCAACCTAAGCCCAAGTCTAACCTAATATACCCAAATTCGTCAAATGTCCAAATCCCTCAAATTGACCCACCAAATCAACTCAAAATCACTCCAAATCTTTTCCAAACTCTTCATGACAATCACCTACACCAATTTGATGAATCCATTGGGCTCAATGTCATGGCTAGCCTAACCCAAACTCAACTTCTAGCCAATTTGACCCAAATTGAACCCATGTACCAAGATTGACTTAGACATGCCCACATGACAAATTAATGACACCACAACCACTAGATGGATCCTAGTGACCAGGCTAGACCCACTTAGCCCACCCTAGATGATTCATGGACCAAAGGTCCCCTAAATTAATGGATTTGTTTCCTAAATTGCTTAAGCCAAAGAGATCTTTTCCAAAACCCATCAACAACCCAAATTAATTGTTGTGACAGATTCCCCTGAGATTCCTGAGCCACGTGAGCACCTCCCCTACCATGGCCAGCCACCCTAGTCACCGAAGGGGCCAAAACTAAGAGCCCCCATACCTCAATTCAATCCCAAACTCACCCACCTTAGCTGGCCATTTTCAATTGGTTTCAACACTTTGAAACCCTCCACATAAGCATCAATTAGCACCCACTAATTGGCCATGGTAGCCACTGCAAGTCATTTTATTTAAACCCCCCTCCCATGGCCAAAAGAAAGAGAGATCAAATTTCCTTGGGGAGACAAATTTCCTTGGGGAGACTTTCCTTGGGGAGA